CTCTTTCCCCAGTTTAGGAAAAATGGTCCCAAAAGTAAACACTGATCTGGCTGGGATTTGCAGCCAGAACTCCAGCTCTTGAGATGCACAGCTTAGGTCCAGAAAACCTTCAAAATAAGGAGATAATTGAACTGATGTAGAAAGATCTGGCTGAGTTTTTTTATAAGAGCCTGAAACTCAGAGGCATTACCTATATGGAAACTTCATGGAGCCAGCTTGGAGACCCACACGGACATAGTTCATATTCCAACTATTTCACTTGTCAAAGCACGAGAGAAAAGCCAGTCTTCCCTGAATTCTGTGCCAGCATCGTCCAAAGTGGGTCAAGGATGAAATGGGAAAGACACAACAAGCAAAGGCAAATAAGGATTTATTTTGGTTGAAAGACTGTTTGGTTTTGGGAAACAGCTCCCTCACGTTTCAGGACAGAACAGCTCCTTTTAATGGCTCTGTGCCATCATTCTTCCAGAAGCACTATTTTCTGTAACTTGAAAAAAATTATTTCTGTTCCTTTTTTTTTTTTTTTTTTTTTTAAACACTCCAGCTTTCATCCCTATTTCTTACATGTCAGTATGCATTACGAATGTTTCTGGGAAATCCAGGCTAATTAAAACTGCTTCAGAAAGAAGGGCTCAAGGTTGTCAGGCATACCTGACAACCCTTTGGACAAACCATTTTCTTCCATTTGGATTTTTAATTAAGTTTTCTGAAGGTCCGTTAATATAAGAAAACAGGGAAAAAACATCTCATCAATTTTGACTAATCCAAAGACAGACTGACTTCCTTTTTTGTTTTGTTTTGGTTTTTTTTTTGTGTGTGTATGTGTTTTTTGGGGGGTTTTTTTTGAGATACAGATGACAGCTTCAACTTTTACCATTTACAGTGCATTAAATCAACCCCATCCCTGAAACTTAGCCCAAGCCCAGCTTGTTGGCCTCCAACCCAAGGAAGAAAGAGCTTCTTTCTGGCCAAGTCAATAGGGGCTGAAAAAAAGCTTAGCTGTCCAGGCACTGCTTGGATCTTTCTTACACAGACTTTCGGGTCTCTCTTACACGGGACTGGAGATAACCAGATTTTGAAAATGATCATTATCTCACTCCACAGCTGTTTTCAGCCTTTGGCAGTGTAACTTCTCCACAAAACAAAGTTCACATGAAATTTTCATCCTAATATTTCCGGAGGGCAGAGGGAAGGGGTATATCTTTTTTTTTACCTGAAATGGAGACTGGCTGTTGTAATTCTTAATCTCCTTGTTGGCTCCCCGGAACAGCAGCACTCTTGCACAGCTCTCCTGAAAACAGCAGAAAAGTTTGTTAGGAAGAGTCGTTAGCTACTGGATAGATATTCTGGCTGTAAGATGTGTTGCTGTTTGGTATCTATTTTCTTAGATAATATGTAAACAAAATAAATAAATAATTTGAGAAATTAAGTTATTAAAATAATACTTGAGATACGATAAGGTTTTGGTGCTTTGTAGTGTGTTAAGAGTAGAAACAATATGCAAGTGTAAAAAACTGTAGAGGAATGTAAGAGGTAAAAATGTAAGAAACTGGACTGGGGAAATTCCATACTGGACAAATCAGATTTTTCTGAAAATACACTAGTTCAAAATGAAATCTGACTCTCATATGGTTTTGCTAGGGAAACAGTACTGCTCATGGTACAGTAAACAGCACCTGGGGTGAATGATATCCTTCCCTACTTCTGAAAATTCAACAAAGCAGTTTTACCACTTGCATGCACTTATTTGGGGGTTTTTTTTTTAACCTATCTTCAATTTTAAACATCTGATGTATGATTTTTTTTTCAATATCCCTGAAATTATTTGGTCTGGCTATACCCACCACCTTCTGTCTTTTCCCCTAAAAAAATCCTACCAGTTAACAGCTATTAGGATTTAAAATAATTGTCATCATTACATTTTCTGATTTATCACACCAGATTCTTGATCCCATTAAGTTTCCTCCATCACAGGCCTGTCCTAAATACATCTGAGGAGGCTATCCCTACCCTGTACCCAAGATTGAATACTCCAAAAAAATATCTTCTTGTTCCCACCCCTCCGGTTCTGCGTAACAGACTGAAACAACAGAACGGATCGTATCTCAAGATGGCATATTAACAATCCTATCAGAGATGGTAATTTTTAATGATATATAATTAATTGAAATAGTTTCATTTGCTTGCACTGAAATCTGCACATTATTTGTATTCTCTCTACCTCATAGGAAGAACAAGGGCAATGAGTGAAATGTCAAAATGTTTTTCTTATTTTTCTGTATTAGCAATCACCCAAAAGAAGTCAATATGCTGCAATCTAGGTGAAGACATCTGGGTTAAAAAACCAAAAGAACCCAAACAAAGAAACAAACAAAAAAACAAACAAACAAACAAAACAACCCACAAACAGTTCTTTTCAGGGTTAATTTTTCAAAGAATTCCTTTCTGACTGACTCCTACCTGATTCTGATTTGCGCACTATATTATATAAGATCTGTCTAGGTTTCACTGAGTTACTGGGTGGCCATGAAATAACTTTAAAAAACCAAGAATTTATTCAGATCAGCACTTAACTGACACTCAGGAAAAGAGAATTACTAGCTTCAGAAAGTAACCCAAGAGAACACCCCAGGGCAGACTGGAAGGGAAAATCCAACGGGTAATGACTCCATCTACAGGAACCAGGAGGTAAAAAGGCTATTGCTGTCTTTACCATCCTCTCCATCCCAAAAAGGCCAGCACCATTCCTTCCACATTAGCTAATAACAACTTCCAATAAAAGGGACACTGAAAAAAATCAGCATAGGTTACTGTTTGCAGCACCCCGAGACAAACTTATTTTCACATACCCCTGATTAAGGAAAACAGCAGCATGACGGTGTTGTCACAAGCTGTTAAACTTCCAGTCACAAAGCCAAGCTTAATGACTGTGAATATATTTGCAAATTTGTAGATGCAATTTCAGTTAGAGTCTCTAAGGCTTCTACAGAATAATTTTTTCCCGCTGAGGTCAGGAAGGAAAACACATCTCTACATGAAAAATACGGTCGGGTACAAAGGAACAGAGTTGACGTTTTTACCTTTTTATGTGGATGATGGTCTGGGCTTCAAAATTCTTACTCGGGAAAAGTGAAGTAAATGAGGTTTAAGTAAATATACTTTTTTTTTTTCCAGCAGAAATGTTTATAGTTACAGGTGTTAAGTTTTTTACATGAAGCCCAAATGCAACAATTCTGTTGAGCCGAAGGTGAATTTCATTGCTCTGCAAGATTTTCCAGGAATTTTAACAAGTGTCGACTTGTAAAAAGCTTTGTATGCCTAGAGTCGCAGAAGCCATCCAAGCTGAGCAAAGAAACCATTGCTAACCTTAAACTAGTTGATGTCGGTACTTAACAGCCTGTTGAAGAGGCTTGGTGGACAGGGAGCAAGAAGCAGTCCATGGAGGCACTATATGGATATGCTGCATCCTTCAAATATTCAGCACCGATGGGGAAGATTTGTATGGCTAGACTCTTCATGAACTGATAGCAATTCCCACACACACATGAAGTTTTGAATAATATCAAAATATTCCCAAAATTATATTTTTCAAAAAAGCTGAGGGTATTTTAGACCTGACTGAAGAATCTGTCTTGACAAGACTTTTGGAAAAAACTAAGATGGTAATTAATTAAGAAGCAGATGTTTTAACAGATGTTTCACTAGTTACAGTCAAGTCTCATGACTTGTGTTTTTTTCTAATTCAATGAAACATTATACACACTGTGTTTTATCATAGTTGTAAAACTCGTTCCTTCCCCATCCCATCCATGCAAAGAGAGTGTAAAACACTATCAAACCAAAGGGTTCTGTTATTTGTAAATGACTACACCGGTTGTAAACAGCCAAGAATACATCTACAGACACATTTCCACAGTATTTTCTGAGTATTTCTTATTTAATTCTAATTTAAATTCTAGCAAAACAGCAATAAATTCTGGATAGGAAACAAATATTTAGATATGATACTAAAAAAAATACAAGCCAGTAGTACACTGTGTTGTTCTATTTTCTAATTAATATGTATAGTCTAGCTACCGACAATAAGCAACCTTACTTGCAACCAGTGAATAAAATACTAATAATATAGTTTTAATTATTTTCTTTCTAGTTTATAACACCACCATTTAAAAGCTGTGGCACTTCACTGCATATTAAATAAATCAAATAAAAAATAATGAGCTACGTTCTTCTTCAGTGTAACTTGCCTCTATAGATCAATAATGAGAAATTTATCCCAAGAGGAAACCGCATCTCAGGAAAACCTAACACCCAACCAGTAAACTTCAACAGAAAACTCAACAAGCCTCTGTTTCTGTGGATGGGCATGAAAGATTTTGCATTTGTACCTCAATTATGTCTTTTTTTTTTCCTAGCTAGATGTCATTCTCTTACAGCACTGGTTTCCAGTCTCCACAGGACTGGACTCCCCAGACCCATCTTTTCCCAAAGCAAGACATCCCCTCCCACGGAGCCGCGCAGAGGGGACCCCAGGCACCCCCCAGCTCCCACCAAGGAATTTACGACTTGGAAGGAGTCTCGGGGTCTGCTGGCAGAGGAGAGGCGTGCCAGCTCACCTGGTTGTAGAGAGCACAGATGTGCAGCGCCGTGTTTCCTGAGGCGTTCTGCGCGCACATATCGGCGCCGTAGAACAGGAGGTGCTCGAGATGTTGGACGTGTCCGTATCGCAAAGCCTGTGAACAGACGCGTTCTTATTTTTGTTATTATACAGTCTAGGGAAGAGTTCCAGGTAAAGATTTCTAGCAGAGAAGATGCTCTTCTACTTGGGGTCTAATTTTTAGAGCCACCCCTGGAGTCAATGGGAGGACTAACACCCAGACATCCCTACCTGCCTTAAACACCAGTGGGTGCGCTTCAGGTCCAGCACATCTGCGCATAAGCTTAAGCATCTTCTTAAATGGCAGCTTAAGGATGGAGGAAATACAAAGCTGGGCACTTTTTATCCACTAATATTCATAACTGCCAAAGGTGACGAGCAGACTGACAGAAGAGAGGGGTTTCTGTCCTGCTAATCTCTGGAAAGTTACCCACTAGATGGCACTGAAGATGATCAGATTTCCACAACCTGATTTTTTAAAGTGTGAAAAGAGTTTGGGGAAATCTGGCCAAAATTCAAGTAATAATCTTCTCGATTCTGGGATATCAGGTAGATGCACAGTATACCCAGGGCACTGAGCTGAAAGAGGGAAAATTTTCAAGAGCTACTTTATCAGTCACACAAAGAAAATGAGATACTGTGAATACTTGGAAATCACTCTATGAACCAGACTCTGCTGAAATTTGAAACTGTCCTGATTAGCAAATAAGTTTGAGAAAAATAACAGTATTTCCATTCATCAATCTCATTTACTTGCCTACCTGTGACTTGACATTGTTTTAGGAAAATGAAAAATATACTTGCTACCAATTGTTTCCTTGCTACGCAAGGTACCTTTGCCTTCTTCAGACAGATGGCAACATATGGGATTGTATCCTATCACCACCTTTCTGAATTCACTGAGGAATGCTTGTATTATTGATTACTGAAAACAGATTGCCCGTAATCCAGATGTGTAAACATTGATTTATTTACAAGTACAAGAAATTGGAAAGCTCTGTTTCATTATGAGAAATAACAACAGTATGTGTATGAGGCTGGGTTTTCAATATAGGGAATTTTCCTCTATATCTTCAGGGAGTCCAGATGGGGTAATGCTTTGATCTGTGCAATCCATTTCATCCACATCCTCCAAAATGATACAGAGAAAAGGCACAAAATGGCTGCAGTGACATTAAGACTGCTAGAATCTTTAAACTTTGTAAATTACTGAGTTTACCACCATGCAAAGAGCAACTAATAAAGCATTCTTGCACAACTGTTGCATAATATTCAGATGCTTCTGGAGAAGACAAGATAAAAGAGTTCAGATAATTTTTTTTTTCAGAAACAATATATATAATATATATAATATAATGTTACCAAACATTATATGTCTTTTTAAGAGATATAATTTAGGTCATTGGTGAGGGAAGAGGTCTACCTTCCCCCCAAACCAAAAGTAAGCTTCCCTACCTGATGAATTTCTTGCCATCCGTTTTCATCCTTGCAGCTGACGGTGGCGTGCTCATGCAGCAGCAGCTCACAGCAGTAGGGATCTCCCCCCACAACAGCCGTGTGGTACAGTGGGGTCAGGCCACAGCTGTCTTTGTAGTTAGGAGATGCTCCAAGCTCTAAAAGGGTCTGAAAGCAATCACAAACTGTGAAAAATATATTTTGGACAGACTTCTAACCATAAAGGGACTTTTCCACCTGAAAAGCTACTTACAAGATTGATATTTGCCATAACGTGTATTTTTGGACCACTTCTTTGTAAGCTGATAGAATGGGCCATGGCACAGAATAAGTTACACAAGGAATGATCTCAGAAGAATTAGGATGTAAAGGAATCTATGGGGATAGCAAGGAAGGAATGAGTGGCAATGTCCAGTTTCCATCCCCTCATTCAGTTCAGAAATCTCAGTCCTGAAAATGCCACATCACCTTTGCAACACATCCACCTCTTCAGTTACAAGATGCTTTATCAAAAATGACACGCAATTTGAATATCTGTCAAAAGGAAATAAGCAAAAGCCATAAATCTAAGATTTAATCTAGGATATCAAGGTGATTTAGGAATAGCTGTTAAAATACAAAAGAAAACAGAAGAGACTGTGTTGAGATATAATGGGCAATCCATGCCACTGGCGTTTGCTTTCAAAGAGATAAGCAGCAATAACGCCATTCCTATTTCCTCAGACAGATCTTTCCCAATGTATCAATGAATACAGTTAAATTTCATCACTTTTTCTTCCCACCAAAAAAAAAAATCAGAAATGAAAGGCCCTTTATTGAAAGCAAATCCTCAGATTTGAAAGCCACAAGAAGGCACTAGAACAAGCACACACTAAACGATCCATTGAGGACAATACAGTAATTAACTGAAAACATTCTCCTTTATATATTTTTCTATAAAATAATGTGTAATTTGCTATTGAAAGCATTTACCTTGAGGGTTACTTGGTTCTTGGCTCTGGCTGCTTTGTGCAGAGCTGTCATTCCATCTTTGGCTCGGAAGTCCAAATGGGCTCCTCCATTTTTCAGAGCTTTTATCACTTCTACTGTATTGTCAAGCTGAACTGCCAAAGTTAGGGGAGTTTCTGAAGAAGAGAATAGCACATACTTGAAAAACGATGGGCAAATTTATAAAAAAAGAACATTTGTTTTAACAATGGTAAGTTAAAAAAGCTGCTCAAAGAACATGGTAAATTATCAGTTTTCTCCTTTGGACAGTAAAGGCATACAGAGTCCGTTAGCCTAGAGTTATGGAGGCAACAGAACAACTAAAATTCAGCTTGTTAACTCATTTAGGTTGCACAAACCCCAGGTACCATATGGTGCTAGTTTTAGTGTTCTGACCTCCACTCTCTAGGTCATGATAGTTGGGGTCCAGTCCTCGGTCCAACATCTTTGTGATTTTTTCCACTGAGACGTGGTGGACATGATCCATAAATTTTCTCAAATTAGCCTGAAAGAAAGAGCGACAAATGAATCATCCCCTAATTTAGTCAAAATTTTATTTTTAATAAGTGAAACTGGACATGATCCATAAATTTTCTCAAATTAGCCTGAAAGAAAGAGCGACAAATGAATCATCCCCTAATATTAAAAACAAAATTTTGACTAAAAGTGAAACGTTCTCTCAATTGATGTCAACATCTGTTGATTTCATTGAACAGTAGCTGCAGAACCTGACTTTACACTGAGAGCACGTCCAGAAGACAAACACAGTAAGAAGATTCTGGGGTTTATAGTTTTAAGGCAAAAAAATGAGTGAAAGACTAATTCAGTAAGAAATCAGGATAGCGTACGGTGATCATTGTTATTATTCTGACCTGTAAATGTGTCTAGAGTCATAGATGAGCACTTTTGCAGCATGCTGAAATCACGTTGCACTTACAAAGTAAGGTTCATTTAAAATTATCAGTCGACACGTGGCAGAGTCAAACTTGGGAATTTCTCTATGACAGGAATTCCCAGAGCACAATTCACACATCCCTTTTGGCGCTGGAAGCACATACTGTTTGTTGTTCAGTAATTGGTCCAGGTTGTAATGAACTCCTACTTATTTCCAGTTTCTCAGAGACGTTACTTTGCTAAGTAGGCAATGGCTAACTTCTCCAGTCAACTGGGCATACCTTCGTATGAAGCTTGGCCAGCTGCTTCTCATCAAGGTTGAACTGTTTGTACACTCTTTTCTTGTATCGAAACTGAGGGAGGAAAAGAAGAAAAAAATTTAAAATGCCCAGTCCTTAAAAACTCATAATATAATTTTCTGACCTTACCAGAAAGTAACTATAATCCATGATGATGCAGATTTAGGAAAAATTCAAAAAAAAAAAAAAAAAAAAAGAAATACTAATATTTAATTTTGATTATTCACCAATAATAAGCACACTGCTTAGCATAGTGTCATCATAGTTTTACAAGCTAAGAATTCTGCTTACATGAACTGTATAAATATACTGAAATCAGTGGAGGGTCTGGGAAATGAGATCATCCTCTAGAATCTAGAGCAAGAATTGCAGTGAAAAGAGCTTTTGCCTAGGGGGAACTGCGCACTTCATTTATAGTCTCAGGCAGAAAGAACTGTGAAGGCATGTCAAATTAAAAAAAAAAATAAATATTTCAACGTATCAGCTTAGCATTTCTGAAATTTAAGAAAGGAAAAGGATTCCTGAAAAAATCACTTCATCAACATACACAGAACTTACACATGGGAATAGTTCTTCTGATGTTTAACTGGACTGGTCCTGGGAATGAGATTCAGGGGATCGCCTCTTTTTTTGTCTGAAACTCACTCATATTTTACCCTGAATAGTTTGCTACCCTATGGCCAGAGTAGCAAGATCTATGGCAAAAATCATGAGGTCTAGGTAGTTATAATTTACTATTATCTAATCGTACTATGCAGAATTCAAAGAATGCAGCATGGCTGTTGGACAAGGAGACTATACTGAGTAAGGCTTTAACAGCAGCTTTTCACAAGGTCACTTTTAACCCCTGCATTGCAAGCCTTCAGCTGCAGTAAGAAGAATTTTTTGCAAACAGTGAACACTCACGAAACAGAACATGACAGAAAAAAAATAAAGTGGTTATTTAAATTGCTTCTGGCTATAATATAGACATCAGGGATTGTCTGTCTGAAATAAACTGCTAGAAAAGCTCAGACTTGAAACCTTCTCTGGACCCTGGTTCTTTTTCTCTTGGATTTCGATTACAGTGGAGTAAATCTATCAACTGCAGGTTGTTAGTGGCTGGTGCACCACCCTACGAGCAATATCAAAATTAATTAAATACCAGTTGCACGCCCCAGTTTCCTGCTATGCTGTGTTCCAGCGTGATCTGGCTCTGCTCCATGTTCGCCCAGTGCCACAATAGTTCTGCCCAGTTTATCTCCCAGCTGCACAGGGGGGAAATTCCAGTGCACGTGTGTGTGACCGCTTCCCTCAATCTAGAACCTTACGTTTCTTTATTAAATCACAGAATAAGATACATTTCCCATGTCCTCAGCAGAGGACAACTCTAAATCTCCCAGAGGGGCTGATTCCTTGCAGCCTTTTGGGGATAACACACGGAACAGCTCCGCTGAGCAGGCGAATGCCAGCACTCCAGTACACAAGGGCTGAAGTTCAGACCTGCTGGTTGCTATTTCCCAAATGCAATTGAGGTGCACGTAGAAACCTCTAATACAGCTCACTGTATAGTTTGTATCAGAATACCAATGGTTCAGATATTAGATCTAAAAATACCTCAAGCGAAGGAACTCCTTTGCTCACTGGCTGTGGGTATTCCCTAAGAAGTCGCTCCTCATCCAAAAACTTCCCATCTCTACCGTTGCTCGCGGGCTGGAATAGTCCATAATTCAGGACATCTTTCAAACTCTGATTTAAAGTGCACAAAATCCGTTGCTTTGCAACCCACACGGAGGCTTCTGGGTTAAATCTAATGCATTTCTGCAAAGAGAAAATATTTTAGAAGTCTAATTAATGAAAAAAAAATTAAATAGTATCTTATGCTCTAAAAAAAAATTAAATAGTATCTTATGCTCTAAAATTTACAAATGTCATGAATATATACACACAGTCATGATAAACCCTAACCCTAACCCGCTCCTGGGCACGATCATTCAAAATTACCACTGGGTTTGTCTTTCATGGGTTCCTGCACAAACTCCACTTTTTCATCTACGGCTCAAGCACTGATGTTAAGACATTTAGTGGTATGGGAGAGAAGAGGGATAAAACTTTCATGGCAATGTCTCAGGTGATGCTTTGGCCTAGAATAGATAGCTGTGATCTTTTACAGTCTCAGATATAAAAATGTCATCAAATGAGATATTAGAATTTGTCACAAATAAAGTTGGCTAGGTAGCATTTTTTGTTGCCATTACATATTTTACATTTCAAGGTGCTTTGTGAAAAGCTGGAGCTTTTGAGGAAAGAGGGAGACAGAAAGAACACTATAAATAGTGTTATCATTCCCAAACAGCCCAGTAGGTCGGGCACCGACTTAGAAGCAAGGGCTAATCCCTGTGTTGCCTCAGCTCTGAACATCACTCGCCCCACGGTGCTTCCATGGGTTCAAACTCCCAGACAAAGTTCAGACTCAAACATCAGCAGCTTTCAGCAACGCTAAAAACTGTCGGTTGCGATGTATGTCACGAGCTAACTGCTACACGCTCTGTCCTTACGCAGTGACCTGTCATTATCTACACATCCTGAAACATCAGAAGTGCTATTAACATGGAAAGAAGCAATGATAATTTTGAAAATGCATGTAAGAAAGACTTCCCTGGGAAAACAAAAATTGCAACAGTACGTCAAATAAGAACCAAAAAAGAAGCCTTGAGTGCTTCAAAAACACTGTCAAAACCACACGAGGCCACTCAACAACCAAGTCCAGCAGCAAGAAAGCACTCAGCATTGGTTGCTGAAATGCAAGACCTGTATTTTTGATATTAAAGCTCTTTGGATCATGAGAGACCTGGTCAATTATAATCGTTCCTGCACACTGGTGAGAGAAGGTCACTAAGCGCAACAGAAGGACTGGAAGCAAGGGAAAAGTAAAGCCCATCCACTCCAGTGAAAGGGAAGATACTAATTCAATGGGAATCATGTTCCTGATACAGAATCTCCGAGGAAAAAACATGTAACTGTTCAAAATCTATCAACCAGCAGATCTTTGTCATCAAACTCACAAAGATATCAATCACCAAGAACTGTGCCGTGACAGAGGAACCATGACAAACGGTTTGTACAGCTGCCTCCAAAGTGTGACTGTCAGGATATCAAAATAAAAGTTATTCCTTTCAATAGATGTCGATATTAAAGATGTGACAACCAAAAAGTGGGAAATGCAAATGGGAGTTCAGTATCACGAAAAAAAATGGAACAAGTCACTCATTTTGGTTTGCTCCCGGTGTTCAACTCAGTCATTGGAAGCACTGCTTTCCTTCATCAAAATGCATCCAGAAAACACACGATTCACGAGATGAAACGTCAAAAAAACCAGCCTGGCCACACCAGCATCGGCTGGCAAGTCAGGTCACCTATCCAGAGCATGGGCGTAAGGACAGATGTCAGCAGCACGCACAAGGTTTCCATCGTCAAACTGAAGCTAAAAAAAAGGAAGATCAACTACAAACAGAAAGCAGCAATGAACAATCAGTCACAACACGGGATAACAGAAGAATAGCTGTGAAAAGTTACAAAGGAAAATCTGGAATAGGTCTGAGGCAGCGGATAGTGGTACGAACTGGAAACAAGCGAAAATGGGGGCATCTTAAGCAAAAATGGGACTCAAGCTGCAGTTGTGACAACCGCGTTCCTGCCTTCATGAAATGAAAGCTGCACAAACTAAACAAGTGTTTTATCTAAAAAAATAAAAGCACTACAGGAAAATACTCTTAATCCTTAAGGCCAATGAATACTGGAAAAAGAAAAGTGTAAGAAAAGATACAAAACTATAAAAAGAAGTGGAAAACCAAGAAGTAGCTACAACTTAAGCTGTTGCTTTACCAAACAACATTTTTCATGGAAAGTCCAATATATAAAAAAAGCAAAACACACAGGGGAGGGGGGAGTCAGTAAATGCTCATTACTGAAGTGGAGCAGCAAAAGAGATGGGCAGAAAGCATTTCAACGATGTCTTCAACAGACCCAATCCCATCTCAGCATCAGAATTTAATAAAACATATGAATCTGGGCATTTTGATTTTAAACATAACCCAAAGGGAGCACGTAAGTATAGGATAAAACAAAAGAACAGAAGAACCACCATGTGCTGATAATAAAATGATGAAAACACTCCTTAAAAAAATTATCTGACAGATCTGTTCTTGAAGTCTGTGAAAAAGAGCAATTCTAAGCAGAAAACATTGGACATCACTGTCAGAATACCATGCAAAGGAGATTTTCTTGACAACAGCTCCTACAGAAGAACTAGACTGCTTCCAGTGATAGGCAGAATCACTTGTGACATGTTCCTACACGGGCTGATAAAGGAAACAGATACAAGAAGACTTACCCTGGATTAAGACCAAAAAAGTCCAGGGAGAGGTCAGATATGCCAGGCATCACAGAGGAAAGCACAGACACATTAGTTCACCCAGTTCTCCACGTCCAAAAGACATTTGACTCCATGCACAGGCATGGTTGTCTTTAGGCACAAGGTGGGCAGTTGCCTTGGGCAGCAAACTCCTGGGGGCTGTTGGCTGCCAAGGTCGCACTTTGGTGCCCTGGGGCTGAAGCATCCCCTTAAGGGCAAACACAACTGAATATTGCCCAAACCACCAAGAATCCCTGCACCACCATCACAAAGAGAGGAGGAACTGGCCAGTTACATCTCCATCTCAACAGTGAGTCCTAGGGGTCATCATCAAGCCCAAGCCTTCTGGGCTGGATGCACTGTAAATAAGCTTCAGGCCAAAAGAGGTTACACCTGTGTCCTGCCTCCATAAAGGATCTGCTGAAGCTGAGCTCCTGGCTTATTAAATCAGGAAATTAAATGCCAGATAATACAGCTTTTTTACCCACTCTCCCATGCACATGTGTTTGTGAATATGGAGGGCTTTCTCTGCTCTCCATTCTCCTGGTAATATTCCTCAGCTCAGGAACTCTTTCAGTCACTCATTTAAATATTCTCCACCCTCCTGTGCTAAGGATGGCACTTTCCTGAATACAGATGATGCACAAAAGCAAGAAGAAATTACTCTTTTTACAAAGTATTCTCTCCATACATTGGATTAGCATCTGAACTGAAAAGGAAACAAAAAAGAATTTATGTAAGAACTAGAAAGTCTTCATAAGAGCATCGTATGAACTTCTCAAGGTTTACATTGTCTTTAAAGTTTCATATGAGAATAAAAGGGCAACAAGACAGATACCCTACAATGGCTGATAATTTATAGAGTTTTCTATAGCCTATGTATGACACTTGGTGCTTTTCTCATACATGCAATGAAATAAAGGCGATTTACATCACAGTCACTGTAGATGAACAAGCTTTTATTCCCAGTGAGTTTAGCTAGGGGCTTAAAGCTTCACAGTGGGTTGAGTTTTATCTAAAACCCTAAACTTGCCTGCTTTTAAACAAATGTATTCTTGACCACACTTTCTAAAAAAACACTGAAGATTAAAAACATAAAACTAAATTATGCCATTTCATGCTCTTTTGATTAAACAGACTAATTTTAAACACCTCTTACGTTAAATTAATGATAATCATATGGCAAATGGGATGTACACTGGATTTGGCTTGTAGCTATGATACAGCTCACGAACTGTGATCTTCTCCAAACTTTGCCACACTACACTTAAGCTATCAGTCTTCCTGTTTGCAAACCTGAATCCAGATTTTACTTTTCTGTACAAGAGCTTGTGGGCTGAAAATTGAACCAGAAATAGATCACCTGGTATAGAATGGTTTAAAACAATTGAGTGACATTTCATTAAGAGTTTAATGAAAAGGAAAAAAAAAATGCAAAGAGTAAAGCAGTAAAAATGAGCAAATGAAACACAAAACCCAAACTACTTTTTGGGGTATTTCATTTCCTGCACAAAATGAATTTTAAGAAAATAATTATTTCAATAGTGTCAATAAATAACTTATTGGTCTAAAAAATAGAGTAATGAAACAAAAGGGCTTCCGGAGGCTAACATCTCTCTGCTTTTAACAGCAATCTAGTAAGTAAAGCTAATCTTTCCATTTTACTGGATCTGTTCATTGAGCACTGAGCACAGATATAGCAAGCTGGTAGGATCACCAATAAAATCCTAGCCATGTTCACTCAGACCTTGTCTTGACAGAGGACCTCACTACAGGCAAAATCCTTTTAAATTCAAGATGTACAACAGTGGATTTCAGGGTCTCAATCAATACTGAAATGAAAGACCCAAGGTGGCGACTGCTTCAGCCAAGATTTCATAAAAAGCCTGTATGCGGTTCCCAGCAGCTCCTCTGAAGCTTTCCTGTCCAGCTCAGGTCCCACACCACTTTCTCTTCATAGAGGTTCATCTCACACCATAAAAACTAAGAGTGGTACTGTAATTTCAGCAGCAATCCTCATCTACAAGAATTTTTTAAGTACAAGAATTTAAGAGAGAACGTTCCCAACTCCGGAGCAGATTTTCTGCAGCGCTGTGTAGATCGGGCTTTAGAACACGAGCTCTACAACCACACCTGAGGCCACCCTGTCAACACAGCTCTTCCTTGTCAGCCTGTAGACAGCCCATCTCTATCATCCTAAACATGAACTTAATTAAAAGGAGAGGAATAATTTCAACCGAGATAGATCTTCAATGGCAGCACAGTATGATGTAGATCTTAAATGTCAGCACAGAGTGATGTATGGAGCACACATCCATAAAAAGAATGTGTTTTTATAATCAGCTCTGAAATGAAAAAAGCCTGATGCCTACCATCAATTGAAAAACCCAGCAACAGCGTTCAAGGAGACTCAGGGTAATTAGATAATTAATCACAAACTTGGGCAGGTTGGGGTTCTAGACAGAATCCGTAACTAACTCCCAAGACCTTCTCCAGGAGGAGGTTGTTATTCCTATAGTAGCACTTGTGGAGGACAATGAATCTTTTACTTTCAAAGTTACAACAGCAAACATCTCCAATTTTATGCTCCTAACATTCCAGACATTGAATTTTACACATTCAACCATAAAAGAAACACAGCTTTGTAGTTCCTCATGAGAAAGAGTGAGGAATTTGGCCTGTAGATTTCTAATATGTAAGGAGCAGCCAAGATTTTTTTTTTAATTAAAAAAAACCAATTTTTATTCTCCTTTACTCAATTAAACAAGTGAAAAGTCTGTTCAATTCTTTCTGTAAGATGTGAGAGATTATATCTTTTGTTGAAAAGTCTCTATTTTCATCCAGTAGACTTAGGGATGTGAGACACAGCCATAGGTCCACAAGTCAGCTTGCAAATGGATCCTCTAGAAAAAGAAAAAGAAGTTCATTTTATCCTCTTGGATACGTTTCCAGTATGAGTGGTGAGGAGGTGGGAAAGAATAGCAATTTCATGTCATTGTAAAAACTGGGAAACAGTACAATGCCACACTTTATTCTTCCTCCAAAGCAAGTGTGGTGATTTCTCTGGGTGGAAGTCTGAGAAATAACACCATGTAGTAAAGGCACGGCAGCAAAGGAGGAAGGAAAGACTTATTTGTGCTCCTCTGTCCACATCTTGATACCTAAAAGCCACGAGTTATCTAACAAGGCTATCTTTTCGTGGCAGGATGACAGAGACAGGCAACCAATGGTAGAGAGAGAGGATGTGATGACCTCCTCCTAGACCTGAGACTAATGTCAGCCACAAACTATCTCATGAAAAGAGAAACTAGAGAAGACAATGGGTTTATATATGCACAAGGTTCTTGTAGAGACAACATGTTTTTGGCGTTCATCCCTCACCTTTTGATGACATTTCAGATTCCTAGTTCTCTTTCTTCTACCCAAACACCTCGAATGCAGATCAGAAGGTATTTTGCTTTGTGATCACAGCTTTCATCAAGTTAACATACTAAACACACTCTCTGGGATAGGATGATGCCTTTCGTTTAGGCAATCAGTCAGACATACCATTGAGGTAAAAAATGTAGACATTAAAAGAAAACAGGACATAAATTTTGCCTGTAACTTGTTAAAAGATTGCAAGAAAACAGAACGGATCTGCTGCAGATTGCAGCCAGCAATGCTAACCATTTTATTTCAATTTATTTTTTTTTAATTGGAATGCAATATCCCTTACCGTTTGCTGCAGGTCAGGTATTATAATTCGAATCACTAAGGTGTTGCTCTGACTGTCGTCCATTCTGCTGCTTGGCTTTTCTGCAGTTGCTCTAATTGTGTCATAAATAGTTTCTTCTTTGGAGCTATCTGTTTCAGATTCAACAGAATAGTCGGAAAAGCTTTGTGCCATTTCATCTTCGCTTGACGTTGGACTACGAGGCATGTTCGAGTTTTCTTTATCCTGCCCATACAAAAGAGTAAGAGAAAAAGAGAAGTTATAGTTGATGTCTCAAAAAATGAATCAGCTACAAGTTTTGCCTTCTTGGAAATAACACACATTTAACAACGAAGTTATCAGTTTTATAATCCTCGTATTTCCTCCTGGGATTTATGTGGGTATGCAGAGTGTAATGGAAATCAATCTGGCTACCAATTTACTACAGAAGGGGAAGAAGGACAGGAGAAGGAAGAAGAGTAATAAAAGAGAAGATGACCTTTCTTCCCAAGCACACCCAACCTCCCAAAGGATCGGGAAAAATCCAGCGTAAGTACCAGGTTCTCTGCTAAATAGCACTGTTGTGAACTGTACCTAGAACGAGATCTGGCTTTGAAGCCTACTTCTCCCAGTGTAAAAAGACATTTCAGGATATTAATATAGGTGCTAAACCATCATCCTGTATATCAACAAATTGTACAGGTAAGGCTTCAATAAAAGACAGTCTTTTCAAATAGCAGAATCAACCAAAAAAATGAAATACTACAGGGAGCCAGACAGAGGCAGATGCTGCTTTGTGGTTTGTGGCTCATACAACACCCTTGAGTATCAACACTACCAAAATCTGTGTGTTATACATACAAGATATACACATAATACAGATTTTAGAAACTTTTTTCATCTGTGGTACAGATTAGGCTAAAAGGACAGTAGTATTTATTCCAGAGCAAGGACATTTGCATTCAGAGGTCTCACAGTAAGAACAGCAGAACATTTTCCTCCTGAGTTTTTCCAACAACAGCAGCAAAGGACTTTTTTTGTCCCACAAACTAAAGGCTTCTCCAGGAAATGAAAATTAGTATTCCATGGACAAATGCGGAAAACATTTATACTGGAAAAAAAATTGAAAAGACCACCACAAACTTTGCAGTGCTTGGTAACTGCATACTCTTCCGGTTTTCAGAGGCCAGAAAGATGCAAACATTATTTTTCATATTTTCCATGAGAAACCTCCCAAGACAACTTATCTGCTTTTTAATAAAAAAATAAATGTTCAGTTAAAAGAAAAAAAAAAAACAACCACCACCACCACCAATTCCACTGTCAGCCCACATTAAAAAAAAAAAAAAAAAAAAAAAAAAAAAAAAAAAGACATGAAAGCAAAAGTAAAGCATGGAAAGGTGAAGTGACTTTGCCAAGGTCACTGATATGCCAGGTGACTGTACTCAGATATCCAAATATATGTTTTCTCTAATGGTCTCACAGTCAGATCGCCCAAAGTAAATCCAGTCAAACGACAGCACAGACTAAGAGAACATTTTTTTACCACTGTGCTTACAACTTAGCTCGAGCCAACTACATTTCACAACCAGATTACTCATTCCTCTGTGCCGTCCGGTCATTTATACTGCAATGATTACAAAGCAGGCATAAAAGGCTACTGCTGTAACTTAGGATTTTAAGGCGACCGTATGTTGGAGCCAGCATTTACACCAGCAGACAGGCAGTCCTTGAGGTCAAGCTTGAGGTCAAGGGCAAGCATTCCCAAAGCAAATCCCATACCCACGTCATCAAGTCTTGCTATTTCTGATGAAGGACAATTCCAGTGTTATTACCCTCAGCTATAATTACTAATGAAGACAAAAACAGTGCATTCAAAAAGCTGAAAGCATGCCAGTTCACAGCAGCTTGATGCGAGGCTTTATTTACAGAAGAAAACTCTTGAGGGAGCATTTCGTTTCCTTACTGTTTCACTGAACTGTAGATTAATGCTGCTCTCCGTAGCACCTTGAGTCAATAAAAAGCATAAACATTTCAATGGCTTCCTTGTTTATCTACCAACGCTAAATAACATGAAGCCAAAATATAGTAGGTCGATACACAGTATTTAGGAGCATAGAGGTAGAGGCCAGCAAGTGCGAGGAAAAACCATTAAGACCATCACGCGGTTTGTCTCTCCGTAAAGCCATTTGAGAGCACAACGTATTCCAGGGCAATGGATTCAACTCTTCTGACAGTGAGTAGTAACTGCAACTATGCAGCACACAAAGAAAGAGTTAAAGTAAGAAAAAAAATTCACGAGGTTTTGGCAAGCGGATTTTCATGCAAAAACTACCCAGAGATATCTCATTATGGAATAACAAAGGGAAATTACTAGCTGAAGAACCAACTCAAGCACTAAAGTTAAACAAATAGTGGGACAAGGAACTTCTTGGAGACATGTCGACAAGGCACAAGACACCTAATTTTCTGGAATACAGATAAAAAAAATAAAAAGCACATGTAACTGCGGAAACGATAATAAAAGTGTGTGTCTACAGTGGCAAAAAGAGCAGAAGCTATGTCCCACCAGTGCTATGGAGAGGCTGATCATTTAAATGCCCTTTTTAAACAAATCACTCTAACCACCGGAGAAACTAAATCAGTGCAGGTCCCAGTGTAGCGCAGATCCTGCCAGGGAGCAGAGGCCAAGCGCATTCCCCTACATCTACAGACCAGTTGGGTTCTTCGGCTGTTCAGTGGTGTGGAAATGGAAGATATCACCACTTGTTAACCAGAGATGCTCACTATCATAGCTTCCACAGGGAAGTTGTTATCATAGAATGGTTTGGGTTGGAAAGGACCTAAAAGATCATCGAGTTCCACCCCCCTGCCATGGGCAGGGACACCTCCCACCAGCCCAGGTTGCCCAAAGCCTCATCCAGCCTGGCCTTGAACCCCTCCAGGGATGGGGCACCCACAGCTGCTCTGGGCAACCTGTTCCAGTTATCTTTTAGGAACTGTTTCAGTTTTGTCCCAGTGATATTCCAAAGACTTTTCCACAAGCAAAACTATTCCCTCAGGATAAGTAAGGCAGGTTACCTGGTTTACTCAGGCTTGTGAAGCAGAAGAAAATACAGCATCCCAGGTTCCTCATTCCCGGTAGGCAACTCATTGGTTCAAAAGGATGTTATATAGCTAAAATATCAATTAGTTTTTGCTGATATGATTGTCTGGGATGCCTTCTTTCATTTTCTTTAAAACCACAACAGGTCTTTTCTTCCTATAGTTAAGCTGATTGTATTTTGTAGCAATAAGATACATCAGTGGCTGCTTTTGGCATAGAGAAGTGCTGAGTGAAGAAAAGTTTCTCTGTAAAGGAATGAAAACAGATTTCCAAAGGTCTTGGAAGTAAACTCACAATCCAAGCTGCCACCACGATGGTTTTTGCTCCACCTCATATCCTCCATCTGCATTTCCAACTCTGGTACCTTGAGGTCCCCCCATGAGCTCCAGGCGCTCTCCATCCCTGGCCCCCGCACATCCCCTAATAACCGCTGGCTGAACAAAGCCAGCACGAGCTCCGGCTGGTTAAACACTGCTTCTGACACAGGAAAACCATGAAACAGCTGGAAGATGAAAGAAGAAAAGGATGGCTTTTGTACTTTTCCACCAGCACCGTGCCCTTTAGCTCTGCGGGAGCACAGCGATGTTTGCTCTGCCTCTATGGCTATTGCTGGGTTACGCTGCTCAGGCCAACTGGTCAGATGAAACAAGCTGAGGTCAGATAGCTGCCTTCCCCTCACAGATGCTATTTTTAGATGCCAGCAGCTTTCACAAAATCTGCAGGAATTTCTTATGCTGCTATTTGTTACCACCCCACCATCAAGGGGAGCTGAAAGCAGCCTATGAATAAATTGGAAAAAAAAAAAAAAAAAAAAAAAAAAAAGAACAAGGGGAGCTAAAAACAACCTAAGAAAAAAATGGAAAAAAAAAAAAAAAAAAAAAAAAGAGCATGTAGCATGACTATCAACCTGCCTTTTTCTTAAAAAAGAAAAGAAGACTAAGAGCACACTACAGAAGACCAGAATTAAAACAGAGCACAGGTTGTCAAAAGGCGAGAAATTCAATTCCCAGAGCTCGCTCACTCTCTCTGAATGCTCCAGTGAGTGCAAACTGACACGACAGAGGGAAAAAAGCAAGAGCAGCAACAGGCTGATCCTTTTTTTTTTTTTTTGGAGCCTTTATGGTTGCTGAGCACCATACGGACAGAATTTATTAAATATATATGTTTCGATTTATTTTTAACTTTCTTAAATATTATAAACTTGATATTTTCTAAAGGGTTTAAAATATTGATAACTACACATATTGGACAAGGTATCTCCATTAAACATAGATCTATTATAAGCTACACAATGCAGTTGCCTGCTACAAAAATCATGTTTCAAAATCTTCAACTTCATTATGGCTGTGTGCAATTCTGTTCGTCCTGCAAAGTAACACACGCTCCTATCGAGTTTCATATTGGTACATACGGGACACTGCGAGACATACACACACAAAAACCTATTTTAAATCATCTGTCCCATATAAAGTCCCCTCCCTGTTGCACCCTACGCCAGCACCAGCAAATACAGCGAGTGCAGGTGTGTTTGTCCAGTTTGCCTGGAGCAAACCCAACAGTCAACCATCAATGTCTTGGCCAGGGCCAACAAGGGCAGATCTCAGAGCAAGGTTTCAAATTCAAGGGTCACTGGCTCCTAGTCACGATAAGAACAATCTATTTTTATATAAACATTCATTTGCACAGTAACAGTCCTGTTGCCTGCAGGGAGAAGTCCTCTAGACTGCCATTGTCAGGAGGGTTAAACATGTACCTGTGGGAATATCCCAGCTACAGAGTCGGCATTGTTACGGGTTGAGTAATGCCGCTAACCAGACTGTGAGAAAAGTCTGCTGTTAGAATAACAGCAACTGCCACAAAGGGGTATTTAATAATTAACTTTGAAGAAAAACTATTCAGGAAAGGGATTTCCATCTGTGAAAACCTGCCAGAGCTCCTAACCCTTGGATTCTGCAGCTTTATTCCGGATTATATATATCAGCTAAAGAACCAGCTCGCCAAATTAGCAAATTAAAATGCTGGAGAAGATCAAGCACTGCCTTCTCTACATTATATTAATAACAAAAATGCATTCCAGCCAGAACAGAAGATGGGGGGGTACAATCCCAACGCTCCACGCGTT